ATCAGGGCGGAAGATACCCAAGATGTTCCTCTATAAGCAGGAGCTGGCTCTCGCCCATCACCTTCATGTACACCAAAATATCTCCAGTCGCAGCCTGACTGGAGAAGACCTTGAAGTTCACGTCACCTCCAAGAGCTGCGAAACTTCCTGTATGGAGTCACCTATGGACAAATACCTAGGGATCAACACTCTTGATGTGGAAGACTTCCGACATCAGGCAGCTCTGCAACGTTGCTATGCTCCAGGATACCATCTTCACCGCAGTCGCCAAGGCGCGGGTTGATGGTATGGACCGGAAGTTCCTGGAATGGGAGACCGATATTTTCTTCGTGGACCCCGGACTGAAAGTGAGCGCTGACGGTTACATCGACCAACTCGAGGAGAATATCCTGCCTTCATGTCGTCGCCTGTACCATCTTGGAAACTTCGTACTGCTACAGGATTGGGTGCCAGCACATGGAATCGAAGGGCGTTGGAAAACTCTCGCCTACTTGGAATCGAAGGACGTTGAGAATCTGAAGACGGAATATCCAAGTGTGTCACCTGACCTAAACCCCCTCAATTACCGGTTCGGGCGGAGCTCAACAGGGTGGTCTACAGTCGGAGAAATCAACGACCTCGCTGAACTCAGGCACCGAATCACGGTCGCGTGGCAGAATCTCTCGATGGCGCTCGTCCAGAAGGCTGTGGCGGAGTTTCGTGATAGTGTGCAATGTGTTGTTGAATATGATGGTGAAAGTGTCCAATCAGAATTTAATAAAGGTTTACTTATAGCGCCTGGAATGTCGAGAAAGAAAAGTGTCTTTTTTATTGCCCCCCCCCCTGTACATCAACTATAGAGACAGCACGCAGTGCCAAAAACATAGGAAAAGCTACGCATAAGATGCTAGCATGTTTTGAAAATCCAAGCAGAAAGCATCTGTATGCAGGATGTGCCGTCTCGTAGGGTAATCGGCTCTATGATGCCGATTCATGAACTACTAGAAGAACTAGCGGCGCTAAGAATAATGACGTGATTTGCAGGTGCCGGATCATGGAACATCGCAGGTTTCGGTTCTGGATGAACACGGTAACGGTGTCTCTTCGACGACCACCATTAATCGATGGTAAGGACGGGGCTGTGCCTGGCGAAGCTTCAACTAATCTTGATCATTGTAGGTTCGGAGCATCGGTCGAATCTGAGGCTTACGGTATTGTGTGGAACGACGAGATGGATGATTTTTCTACACCTGGAATGGCAAACGGGTAATCTTCAAAAGCGTACCTCCAACAGAGAACACCTGACTGTTTCCCTTATACGTCACAGCAAGTTCTCTTTCTGAAAGTTGAAGAACTTCCTATTTTCTGTGGAAAACCCATCCACCTGATTGTGAGTTCAGTTCGTAGTCGTATATGGTGGCGCTTCATCGCGCCCTTGTTTTACGAGGCGCAATCACTAGAGAAGAAAAAGACGGTGTGTGGGGTGTGGATGTCAGTGTCCAAATCCTGTATTCCGATATATGGTAAACGTTTTCACTTTTGAGACCAGTCAGTTCAAATTGAACTAGAGGTCTATTAACACTACTGGGAGGCCAAAAGAAAGGGGAGGGAGGTGTCTTAGGCAAACCTCGATCTCCATCACTTTCGATTTCGCTCCCCTGTTCCTCCAGTGGTCGATGGCTTAACATCTGTTCTCTTCCATTTTTGATGCCCTTACAGTAAGTCTTAGCGAAGAGTCAGAGACTTTCGCCTGGCTACGGAAACAGAAGAAGGAAGCTTCTTGGTAGTTTACCTCTACAAAAAAATGTTTGCGATATCCTCTCTCAAAGGCCTTGATTGCCCTTCGCCAAAATGCACCTCATTACCTGAATGGCACCCTAATTCATTTTTCTTTCTTTCTTACTTGCTATAATTCTGAATTCTTTTTGAAGGTTTGGCTTTGCTCCATCGGAAACGAATTTTATTGTACCTGGTAAGCGGCCAATGAGCAGTATGAGTCCAGTGGTGATTTTTGACGCGAAGACAAAAGAGGTACGTAATTTTCTGCATTCAGGACAAATAATTCGCTAAGAGGAGTTAAGG